AGTAGTGCAGTTTTTGAAGAGATTACTCAATGCCTGTCTGGAACAAGGTTATTTTCCAAACTGTTGGAAACACGCCCATGTACTTATGTGTGTTACCTTGCTAGTGTTACTTGATTTTAGTAAGGCCTTTGATTCTGTGGACCATGCCCTCCTGTTAACTAGGCTTTCTGCTATTGGTTTTACCTCTTCTTGTGTATCTTGGTTCCAGTCCTATCTTTCCAATCGGTTTTTACATGTCCGCGTGGAATCTGTACTCTCTTCTCCATTTGACATCAAATGTGGAGTTCCACAGGGCAGTGTGCTGGTTCCTTTGCTCTTCTCAATTTTCATAAATAATATTAGTGATGGTATCTCATGTAACTATCATTTGTATGCAGATGACCTTCAACTTTATATTTCGTCAACTGTTAACAACCTTCCAGATGCTTTGTTGCATCTTAACAACGATCTCTCTAGCGTACTTGACTGGTCTAGACGTCATTGTACCTTGCTGGTACAATTTAATTCCTTAACTACCCTTAAACTCAGGCTTGGCAACACTGTTATTCCGTTTTCTAATACGGTCAAAAATCTTTGGTATGGTAATGGATTCGGTGAATCCGGTGTAACGGATTCTTCTGTTTCCATACTTTGAAAATACTTCGCTGCTACCTTCCTCCTGTTGTACGTCGTAATCTTTATTATTTTCTCATTTTCCCACACATTGATTATGCCGATGCTGCGTATCCCGATCTGTCCGCAGCCCTTCGGGGTGACTGGAAAGACTTCAGAACAATTGTATACAGTACATTTTTGATTTAGGAAAGTTTCAGCACATTACTCCATATCGTAACAACCTGCAGATGATGACTTGCCATAGTCGTAGATGATTTCGTATGCTTACTATGTTATACAAAATTGTCCATATCAGTACTCCTGCTTATTTCTGTGATGCCTTTCACTTTTTAGCATCACATGACTTGCCCACTCATGTTTTCAGTCCATAGTACTGAAATTTACCACAGATCTTTTACAGTGCAGTCGATTGCGGTGTGGAACGAATCGCCTACCGTTGTTCGCAATGCAGCTAGTTTAAAAAGTTTTAAAAATGCCTTGAGGCACCATCTGCTATCTCTTCAACTATCTTCTTCTTGACCTATACGTGTTTGTCTTCTTCTCTAGTCTGCCTTCTATCTAACTTTTGCTGCACTTTTTTGTGTCTATTTCCTTCCTTGTAATAACTGACTGTCGATCCGTTACATAATTCTAAAATGCTCATTTGCTCAGTTTTATTAGCACATCATTTAGTATTACTTTTACCGTAGCCATAATTATTTATGTAAAATTACATATACACTGTTACCAGTTGAGTCTCTTGGAAGATAGTGATTTTTGCGATAAATTGATCAGTTTGTCTTGATGTCTATATTTGTTATGAATGTATATATTTATGTAAATATTTGGGTTGGCTTCTCGCTCGATGTTGAGTTTCGGGACACCTGTATATAATTTGCATAGCTAAATAAAAATAGCCATAATATGACTTAAACTGAGTTGGAAAAAGGAAGTAAGATTTATTTTTATTTGGTATATAATTATTACAAAATAATTCTTTTAACTTTTTTAAATTTACTTTTATTATTTGTATTTTTTGGTTGATTGTTTTTTTATAAATTATTATTTAAATGGTCACAAATTGCATGAAAACATTGCAATGGCCGGGTCGACGGTTTCGTAAGTAATCAGAACATCTCTGAATTTATCCAATAGTTGAAGTAATTGACTCCTACGTAGGTTCTCCAGGTACATAATTTCCTCTATGTGATGATCCCCTTTAAAATATTTCTTTCGACATAATCTAGCAAATAACGTTAAATCTTCCCTGCTGTTAGACGAAGGGATTTTAAAAATTGCGTTTCTCTCCTCTTCAGGAAAATCTAGCAGTAATTCTTCTTGGTATTCTTGTTTATCTTCATCCGCGGACGTAAAACTTAAACTTTCCAAACTAAAATTAACAAAAATTAAAAAATAATTGATTCATTAAAATCGAATTTTACTTAGATTCTTTGTGATTTATTTCATCCAAATACGGTTCGGGGGTTCCCGATAAATTTGAAGCTCCACTTTCAGATTCCGTTCTAGAATTAACTGTACTTCCTGAACTACTACTAACAAAATTAATTTTAATTCATGTATAGTGGTAAATATTAAGATTTATTTTTTACCTAGTTCTTTTAAATCCACAATCTAAAGGAATGTATTGGATATAAGTGTGCAATTGCAATAAAAGGTGATGCTGCAACATCCAAATTATCATTTGTACTAATTGGTTCTGTTGAGATGGATGGCACAATGGATTGCACTTTTGACCCAAAGAAGTCGGCAACGAAAACTCACCAACGGTTTGCATTAAATTGTAACCAGGAAAAGTTTCGTTGAATTTATTTACAAGGTGGGAATTAACGGAAAGCGGCGCGTCATGTGATATTACATACTTATTTGTTGAACAAACGGGGTATATTACAGTTGCTTTTGCCCAATAAACCAAATGGGAAACAAGTTGATATACCTAATTTAATAAATCAATAAATCGTTTTTTATGTTGCTTTTGAAATTATTCTTACATGTCTTAAAGTTAAATCTGCGTCTGCTGCTAATGTTTGTAAGTTTTTTAATGGGGAATACTGACATAGTAATCTAATTAACGATGGAGAACTATCAAGAGAAAGAAATTTTTGAATTTGTTGTACAGGACAAAGCAATAACATGCTGTGGTATGGACGTAATGATTGTAGACACCTGAAAAATATAACAAAAAATTAATTAGTTAAGTTATCCATCAATTTAGAATGTCAAAATAATGGAAAATTTAATCCTTTGTTGGAATGAAACCCAATGAGGACTTGTAGTAATTAAATCATGGAAAGGAAATGGTTACACATTAAGGGGGGAATGTCTTTTTTTTATAGTAAAATCTTGTAGTTTAGGGTCTGAATAATACCTCTATGAAGTTTTAATTTAAAATTATTTAAATTGTAGAAGTTATAAACCTTTAACAAATACGGTGTAGGTTGTTATAGCCTTTCACATCGAAATGGGTTTTTATAATTGCGTCCCTTGTCTACTGTAGTAATAAAACTGACAAAAAACTGGATTCACACAGTACTTGCAAATTATAGAGAAATAATAGGTTTAAAATAATAAAGTTTAAATAAATTTAATTTCGCCCCTGTCCTCACCTGATCGGCTTTTATTTATGACTGTCATAAAAACCGAAGTTGTTTGAAATTGTGGTACACTATCGCAATTGTCACAATTCGTTCGATTTGGTTACTAAAGGCTGCTCTAAGAACAAGATTGAACTTGTCTGTATTATTTCGGCGTGTTAGCGAGGACAAAAATGGATAGAAAACATTCAAAGGGAAGTTCTAAACGCGTAGTTAGATCAAAAAAAAAAAAATTTGTCGGGAATAGATATACAAATTAGTTTTGGTGAATCCAGTGTTCGTACAGTTTTGAAATTTTGGTAGTATGGGTTGTTCAGTCGCAACTTTCTATCTAAAATATTTTCAAGATGGCTCCCACTTCCGGTCTACCGGAAGTAGATAACTTCGTTATTTTAAATGGAATACTATAGTTTTTATTGCACCTTTTAATTGTACGTAAAAAAATATGTTGTCTTTCATAAAAGTTACTGGTACCTAGCGTTTTTCGTTTTGGAGTTATTTTGATTTTAAGGTTTTTTTGGCAAATTTCACCATGCACTTTAAAACCCTATATCCCAGCCAACGTTCATCCAAAAAAGCTCTAAATTAGCACGATTACCCGTTAGATGCTCTCAAATAGATTGTCATACAGGGTGTCTCAGCGAGACCGGTCATTAGACGTTCTGGGGTTCTGGCGAAAATAAAAATTTGAGAATTCAGACTTAAGTATTATCAATTACGATCTCTTCGTCTAAAATATTTTCAGATTTCTTGCACTTCCGGTTATACCGGAAGTCGCCACCAACTTTATTTTTTTAAATGGAACACCCTGTATATTTTTACATATTTGGATTTGTCTGTTTTCAAGGTTTATAAATAACTTTACTTTTTGCAATTTGATTCGGCCGTTCTCGAGTTATTCGAATTTTTCTAGAAAAATCTGCTCCAGCAGACATTTGTTCAAAAAATC